GATATTCTCAAAAAAATCATTTGTTGTAGAGTTCTATTCTTTTTTAGAACATGTACTTTACTATGTTCATGAGAAATTTGGCCGCTAGGATCATTACTAAATTTAGACCAAACTACAAAAATCATTTCTAAATTTAGACTAATACATGACCATCATATCTAAATTTGGCAGTACGAAATAAATTTTTAAACCCAAAATCACGTGAAGTCCTATTTTCGAAAATTTTTATTGCATTTTTGAACAAATTACAAAATTGCTATTTTTGAAATTTGCCCATGTGGTGCAGAAATAGGAGGTCTTTAGACTGAGCCAACCATATAATATTTCACATTTGTTTAACATAGTTTGATATAAATGATAATATATGTAATGTAATAATGCATGACTTTTTGTGGGGGGTGAAAAATCAATTAAATTGATTTTAATATAAAATTTAAAAAATTTGCCCAGATCAGCACTAATTAAATCCTTTCCTTAACTGGTGGAACACAAATTAATAATAAATTGAATAAATTTAACAAGTTTTTAAATGAAAACATGACAGTGAGCTTCGTGCCTTTTACTCACACAATGACATCACTCAGGTCAAGACAATAGTCTATTTTATTAATTCAAAAAAATATAAATAGGATGGCCGTCCCCACATTTTTGTTTCCTTTCAAGCAAGGATAATCAGAAAAACACAGCTTGAAGCAAAAGGGACATTCGAATTTTACTATCATCTACTATTACTATAGATCTGTGGTGACTATTTAATTCCAGTAATTTTTTTCAATTGCTTTTTTTAGATAATGTTTGTAAATATGTAAAATAAATGGATCACATCATAAGATCATCATAAATAACGATATTCTTATTTTTTTTCTTTTTAAATATATATACCAATAATAATCACTCTTAATTCTATCGAATATATTTGGTAAAACTAAAGATTTATTATATACATATACATATATAAGAAAGGTTCATAGTTTTTTACGCAAACAATTTCCTTATTTGTATTTCTTAGGTCAAGATTGACAAGGTTTTTTTGTAATAAACTGAACACAAACTTTTCATCTATTCTTAATTCAATGTTAATAACATTAAAATTTAACATTAAAATAATTTAATCTTGACATAATTATTTACATGGAACCAATTAAGGATTTTATTCTCTTTTATGTCAATTATTGAATATATGCTTGAAAATACTTCTGTCTGCCTACTTTGCTTGTTAACACAGGACCAATTTAAAACCTCTTCGATTTTAAAATAAATGAAAACCTACAAAGTGAACATGAAATTATAAAATTATATATATAGGGATAAGTGTATATGAAAAGTAATTATAAATATAATGGTTCTAATGAATATCAAAAAGCAATTGATTTTTTAGAAAAAGGTTGTAATTGTGATTGTTCTTCAAGAATTCCCAAGGAAGAATTTGCAGAATTAAGGGAATCCTTTCAAGCTCTTTCTAAATCAAAACAAGACATATTTTTAATGGCCCAACTTAAAGCAATGGATGGTGGATCAATAAGTGCTAGTAGATGCCTTAAAAAGAAAACCAGATCTAATAAAAGAACTTTCTATCATTGGGATCACAATACACTTCTTTGTCAAGAAACTTATCTCAATATGCTAGGAATTGGTAGGACTTATTTTGAAAATATCAGAAATCACCTGATGAACAATGGTCTTCTAGCAAGAGTTCATGGTAATATTAAAAGGATGCCTCAATGGAAAACTAAAATGGTGATTGACAAAGGTATTGCTGAGGTGGTAAAGAATTTCCTAGAAAATTATGCAGAAGTTCATGGATTACCAAGTCCAGGAAGAAGTATCAATAGAATAACCCAATCAATTACATTCTTACCAGCTGAAATGGGTTATAAATCTGTACACAGGGATTTTCTAGCTGGTCTAGAAGAAGATAGTAATTTGAAATCTTTGAAATATGATGCTTTCAGAAAATTATGACATCAATTGACACCAGAAATTCAAATTATGAGTCCAAGGACTGACTTGTGTGATACTTGTCAACATTTTAGAGATGGTTTACATTACAATGCTTGCCAAGAGGAAGAAGCTAAAGATTTACTCAAAAGATTTAAAGAGCATCTGTCCAAGTCAAGATTAGAAAGAAATTATTATAATAAAAACACCAAATTAGCAGAAGAACAAAGAAAATTAGTTGATCAAAATTATTTAAAGGATAAAACAAAATATTGTAGTATTGATGCTACTGCTCATTATAGTTATGATTGAGCTCAAAATGTTCATGTACCACATTTAAATCAACAAGTAAGTAAGATTTATTACCTTAGTTCATGTAAGTTCATTTATTTGGTATTCAAGATGGAGCAGTAAGAGAACAAATTAATTATGTTCTTGATAAAGATGAAATTATAGGAAAAGGACCAAATGGCACACTTAGTATGATCTTTGATGGAACTAAGAAATTGAATAAAGGTGAAAAACATTACTTGTGGTAATGCTGGGGACAAAATAAAAATAATGTAAGAATTTGATTTTATTTATATTTGGTAATTTGTGGTTATTATGAAAGTGTTGAATTGAATTTCATGATTCCTGGACATACCAAATTTAAATGTGATGGTAGTTTTGGCATAATTAAAAAACTCTACAGAAGAACAAGAGTAGATTATCTATATCATGTGGTTGAGCTGGATTAAATAAAGCTCAATGTTATGAAGGTGGAAAAGGTTTCCAATACTTAGATATTAAAGCAATTTTGGGAATTCATTTTAAGAAATTACCAAGTATACAGAAATATCAACATTTTCTTTTTGAAGCATCTAATCTTGGTACAGTAAAAGTTCAAGAAGCTGCTAATGGACCTTTAGCTGAATTCAATTTATTGAAAATCAAGAAACAGATATTTTGGAAGAAATTAGAGCTTTATCCATTTTAGTATTAATGCCACTTCCTTTGGACTATAAAATACAAGAATATCTTTACCAGAATACTCACCCATTTGTGAAAGATGAATACAAAGATATTACTAGCCAAGTTTCAGGAAAAATCTGAAGAATGAAGTAAAAAACAGAAACAAGAGTTATTGGATAAGATAAAGAGTTTAGAAGAAAAAAATTAAGCAGCCAGAAGAATGGTCAAATTGTTCAAATTGAAGTTAAAGAAACTAAGAAACGGCCTTGATTAAAAATAAGAAAGTAATTTTTCTTTGTATAATTGAAATTCATTCCAACTATCAAAAAAAATGGTAATTATTCTCCTTTTAAAGATTTTTGCTTTTTATTAGGTAATAATGCATCTTCGTGCTGCTTTCTTTTTCTAACATTTATTATTTTTCTTTCTTCTTGGTAAATTTCATAGGTAATTTTCATTTATTTTGAAAATATAAGGAGCAATTTTTTCACATTGTTCCTCTTTTAAAATACTTCTAATAATTCTCCGGTTCCATAGTAGGCCTAATGTAAATTAACTTTATATTAACTATTTTTATCTTGACAAATATCATTGGTAATGTAATTGTGATATTAAATAAATAATATTGATCCCTGAAATACTTGGTAATACCAATATTCGCTTTGTCTGGTTTTGTTGCAGCATGCTCCACATATATATGTAAGATGCATAAAGTATAATGATAGATTCTCGGATTACTGGACTGTTTGAGTATTAATACACTTCACAACGTCCTAAAAATTGTATATGAATTGTGCATATTATGCTTGTTCAATCATTGAATAATATTCAAAGTAGTATCATCTGAACCAATACAAACCACATATACTATGATTAATTCTACAGAAAACTGTTCTTAGTTAAGTTGATTGTTGTTATATAACATCTCAACAACAGTGTTGAAATTGGACGGTCGTATATTATTATGTCCAATTGGATAAAATTCTCAACTCTGCTCAAGTTGAACACTGGATCATTTTCTGCAAGCATTTAAATAAAAGTTTTGAGCAAAAAGGAAAAAAAAAGTTAATAAATAGAATGAACAATATCCATTTAACGCATCTTTCTGACTACTAGAAGCTTCATTGCCGCGGTATTTTGGGCTCTCATCCACTGAGCAACTTTATTTAAAAATCTAGTCTTACAACACCTATTATTGGAACACCGAAAAGTTTTTTGTGAATATGCTGTATTTATGTGATAATTTCCAATATCTTATGTATCAAACAATTTTCTGTATCCTCAAAAATTAAATCTTATAACTTCACGCATAATAAACTCTTCAGCGTTTTTGTTTGAAATATGTGGAGTTGAATAAGATAGGAACATAATGGAATTGATTTTCTTTAATAATGTTTAAAGCTGATAAAAATAGAACCAGAAAGGACTTTCACGCCATCTATAATCTTCCCAATTTGTCTGCATATCTTTTTAATTTATTCCTTGCTTGTACTAATTCTCTTTAATAGTGGCCATCTTATTTTATGAAATTTAATAACGAGCAGATCTTGTTATTTCAATAATATGAAATTTAAACCAGCCAATCAAAATGAATTTTGCACCCAAACACCCTCCATATTTGATTTCATTCACATAATCTCAATACAACATGTATATAATAAGGAAGAAGAAAAGCATGTTAAAAGAAATAAAAATCGCTGTTGATCATTTTTGTCCAATCACAAACAATTTTCCGGTGTGACTTTTATTATTGCATCGTGCTACAAATAAAACTAATTCAAAATTACAGAATTGCACAAAAAAAAATTTTAAATATTATTGACTTGGAAAAAAAAATTTATGTTTTTCATATAAGTTATAATTTGTGATAAATAAAAAAAGTTGGTTGATTTTTTATTAAAACAATAAAAAAATACATATATTTAAATATAATCAAAGTAATTATTTTTTTATTATATTATTTTTTTTGTTTATAAACCTAAATCTATTTTAATATTTAGGTTGACCAGAACAACAAATTTTTAAAAATAAATAAATCGGTGAATTTGTAGTATTTAAACATAATAATATATATTATTATTCATTATTTAGGGAGTTTTTATCTAAAAATGCCTACCAACAGTAACATCGTCAAAACAATCAATAATCCTAATCGGTTTGGTCCACAACCAGGTGGTAGTTTAATGAATCGAACAGGTTTGAATTCTTTGTAATTTTTGAGGAAAACCAAATTAAGAAATAAATTATTATCCTTTAAACAGAAGAATTATTATTATTACTGTTATTAAATAAAATTTATTTGTCCAGTAAAAGAGAATTCAATGATATATTATTATTATTTTAGTACCAAACCCGGCTCAACAAGCTAACCGTCCAGGACCCATGAATTCTGCATATTTATCATCTTCGATGTCTCAAAGAACAGTTGGAGCAACGCCAATGATGAAGGTTAATGGAAGAATTGGTATGAATTGTTTAATTAATTTTCAAACCATTCGATCTATTTAATTATTACAATTTATCCATTTTTTAGAAGATCAAAGGTTTAGAAAATAAATCATTTATTTTGAATTTATATTTATCTATCTATCTAATATGTATATTATTACTATTATATAATTTATATAGGTAGTAATAATGTAGCATCATGGAATTATACACCAGGTTCGTTAGGTTCAACACCAAGTATTACAACATCGAGACAACAACAATTACCTTTTACACAATATCAGAATGCAATACATACTCTACATCCTCAGCAACAACTACATCATCATCAGCAAAATGATATATTAGATCTATCTGAATTTCCTGCTTTAGGTAGCAGTAGCAGTAATAGTAGTAGTATTACGTCCAACAATACTACTACCAATATGAACACGTCATCGAATAATATACCTCAGCAGCAGCAGCAGCAGCAACAACAACAACAACAACAACAACAACAACAAATGAATTCAAGTGGATTAGGGTCGTCTTCAGAACAAGATAAAAAGGTGTGTATATTACACTTGAAAAATATGTGTATATATATATATTAAAATATTATATAAAATATATATATATACATGTAAAAACATTGAATTTTTGATTTAATAAAATTTAGAATTATTCTACGAAAGTAGGAGGCAATGTATCAATGATACAACCATTAGCTTCTTCTGGTGTACCTAATGCGTACTCGATAAACGTACCTGAAACTCCATCATTAACTTATTCCTCGACAACAACACCATCCGCTTCATCAACATCTTCGTCGTCATCGACAACGATATCAACAAGCTTACCTAACTCTGGGCCATTCCCGCCGTCATCATTATCGTCAGGTATACCGAACTTACAATCGAACATGGTGATAGGTGGAGATATCAGCAACAACATCAATAATACTAGTAGTAACAATAATACTAATAGCAATAATAGTAATGGGATAGTTGTACCAAGTGGACAATCTATGAATTCGACAACATCAACATCTGTAACGACATCAATCGATGGATATGGATTACTTGGACTATTAAGTGTAATACGGATGACAGATCCTGATTTAAACATGTTATCATTGGGCAGTGATTTAACATCACTAGGTTTAAATTTAAATTCACCAGAGTATGTACTTATATTATTATTATTATTATTAAAATAATTAGAATTATAATACATAATAAGAAAGTATTCTTAATAAGTAATATATTATTTTATATAGTCCACTTTATGCCACGTTTAGTTCGCCATGGGCAGATAATAATCAAGCTATTGGATTTATTGAACCCGAGTATCATCTTCCTACATGCTATAATGTACAACCACCACCACCTGCACCACAAAAAATAAAATCATTTTCTGATGAGACATTATTTTATATTTTTTATAGTATGCCAAAAGATTTTTTACAGGAAGCTGCCGCATATGAATTGTTAGTAATTATTATCAATATTATTTAAATTTTATTTTGGAAAAAATTTTTTAATAAAACAGATAATTTTTATAATTAGATTTAATCGAAATTGGAGATTTCATAAAGATTTGAAACTTTGGTTAACGAAAGAACAAGGAGCTGAACCATTTAACAAATCTCAAGTATTTGAACGTGGAACATTTATATTTTTTGATCCTAGTGCATGGGAAAAGTTTCCCCGGGAAATTGTTCTTATGTATGATTCATTAGAAGATAAAGATCAAGCAATGTATTTGGAGTAAAGGCTATTCATTGCATTTTATACAACGAAGAAGATGCATAATAAACCATATTAATATGATTTACAAACGTATACAAATTTCCATATTAATACATATATAAATATATGGTATAGAAAACCTTTTGCATAAATTTTGTGTAGCTATGATTTAAATTACTTTTTTTCTTTTAGCTACATTAGCTTATTATTTAAATTTAATTTGGAACATGTACAGTCGAACCTTATCATATCAGACTATAATTAAATTCTTGTCATTACAGATTTTTCTTCACATATTATTAATATATATATACCAAATCTAAAATCTGAAAGCAAAAGCTTCCATTTAAAAAGTAAAATTAAAGGAACAAAATTTGGGGAAATAGTTTTTTTAACGCGTCACTTCATATTTTTTTTAAAAAAAAGTCATCAGAAGCACGAGCAAAAGAACAATATCGAGATGAAAGAGACGGATAAGTGCTGTTATTAGTTATTAAAAACAACGGTGGTTATCGCCACTTTCACTCTAAGAACGGTTAGCCCGCCAGATTCCGAGGTGAATCTGAAAAAATAAAAAAAATATTCTTTGTCAATTTCTTGGTTTTTTATCTCTTCATTTATCCGAACGATAACCCTTTGCTTGTATTTTTCTGGATTATCAACAACTAATTTTTCTCTTATTTTCTTCTCTTCGACTAAGGCATTAAACTTCTCTTCGTCAGTTCCCTTCCCAAAGAGAAATGCATAAAACTGACCAACTTAAAGAGAATTTGGCAACAAAAACTTTGGTGAAATAAAAATTCAAGAGGTCAAGGGAAAGAAATATTTTAATTATTTTGTTTTTCTTTCTTTTTAAAATTAACCATTACTATTAATATGAATAAATAGCTAACAGAATTTTGAAGTCGCTAAAACAGTTGGTATAATAAGTAGTATGAATATTATTTTATGAGTAATGGAGTTTTATACTCCAAAGACATAAAATATAATTTTCTTGCAATATATACCAATCTGACTACAAGAAAATAACGATGACAAAATATTTGGATGTCATTTCGTAAAAGGCCATATTCCAGATGAAAATACCGCCATCAATTGAAAATGTTGAATACTACTATCATTTAGTATCGTTAATGATATTTTTTTTGTTTTTTTTCCATTCATTATACACTTACACTTGGTGACAAAAGTTTGCATCCAAAATTTCTTCTGAATTTATTTCAAAACTATACTAATTAAATATTGTGATCTTTATATCATTCGAAAGCTCTTGTCCTTGAGAATATGTTCGTGACATTAAATTTTGAAGCTTTGTCATAAATAAAAAATAAAAAATGATGTAAAAATAGCAAAAAAGTTTGCTTTTAAAAAATGGGAAAGAACTACGAATTTAAATTTAATTGACAGTATGCACTGAAGGGTTGGATATTGCATTGTCAACAATCGGCTGGCCAACTAGATATTAAATATAGTGCAAGACACCTAGTCCCACAACTTTTTATTGGCCTTGTAGATCCTTCTCTAACTCCAAAAATGGAAATG